GTGGTTTGTAAATCAATCGACAGTGCTGAGAAGGTTTTGGAGTTAATAGTATGAATAAACGACGAATACACGAATGATGACGGGAGCATAATGTAAAACGAATTATACTATTCATTGTTTTTTAGACTATTCTACTAAGTATAACGGCAAATCTAGAACAAATCTGATTCTAATAATATGACATTTCAATTTAAACAAGAACTTCATACAGAGGAGGAGAAGGAGCAATATGCTTCAAACTCCTTTATTGTATTTATTACCCAGTAGATGGAACATGACCAAACAAATGAAAAATTTACAAAAAATGCACGTACTTTTGTGTACGACTAAATAAATCATTTAAAAGTAAATTATTACGCACTGCATTTAAGTACATACAGTGTATTTCACTGACTGTTGTTTTCGAGTAAAAAGATTGTTATCATGCATGTCGTGTCCAATTCTTTAACTTTTTAGATCATTGTATCAAATATTTTTTCACGTACCATGATCTGAATGAAATCGAAAATAACTCAATCGTAGTTATGAATAAACTTTTCGACGTTATGCGAGAGTACTTATTGTGAGATTGAATAAATTCTGTATTTATCAGTGTAATAATCGTCAGGTTAAAATATATTTTATTATTTTCAAGAAAAGAAGACAGAACAAATACGAAAAATACAGTGTTTCAAGTATCTTCTGATCCAGCGATATCAATGCAGCCTATTATAAGGAGTAATTCGAAAGTCTAAACAATTTTTGAACTGACTGCTAGGATTGTATCGTTAAACATCTTTATGTAGACATCTTATTTTTCGTTTTTTTGATTTTCTCAGAAAATCCTGTAGATAATATTCACTGATATTAAACTCGTTCTGATATAAACGATGCTAAAATTTGATTTCCTTCATTGACTTTCTGTTAATCGATAAATCGATTTCATCTGTTTCTTTAAAATACTATCTCAATCTCCTGACTGACAGTAAACAGGCGCTTTATTCCGAGTATACATAACAAGTGTACTGGTTTTTTATCTAAAAGTTATTAAGGATTGATTTGAGAGATTCACCATAAGAGAGTCTGTCTTATATAAGCAAATTTCTAAAAACGCGTACTAAAATATTTTGCATTTTTTGACTCAAACGTATGCAGATAGTACTAGAAAAGAAGAAAGTAGGCTCTGGTTAGTCGTTCTTAAAAAAATTTTGCTCAATGTGCACATTTCTATCTTTTTCAATGAGTATCATATATTCTACTAATTGTCTAAGTGAACGGATGAAAAAGAGCGATAGTTGTTGTTTAGGCTAAAATAGGAGACATTGATCACTATTTTATTTAATCTATCGCGAAATAGTGATGAATAATAAGCTAATAATATTTCCATCTTTATGGTTATCTTTCAGTAATTTTGAAATATTTTCTTTTTCACATAGTTAGATACACTTTGTTGACTTTTCGTTCATCGTTTTGTTTGGCAACAACACATGCTTCTGGTAAAGGTAAATTTTAAGTAGGACATGCAAATTTTTCCAAAATTCATAGAGGCTCGCCGTTTAAGGAGGGGTCCCCCATTTAGATTTTTGTCTAATATTCCCAGTTTGCAGAGGATACTTCGAAGTATATGTCCTGACATTATTTGGCTGAGAAAAAAAATTAATTATTTTAAAAAGTATCGTTAAGTTTTTGAACAAGGGACTATTATTAAAAGAATTTCTGTCCATTTTTCATTCATCATAAAAACTTGGTTCTTGTCTAGATCGATAGAGAAATGTGTGGAGAATATTTATTACGAGAAAATATGTAAAAAATTTCGTTCTTTCCTTCCTATTATTAACTAATTAGCACTAATTAACGTTAATTTAGCCTACTCTACTAGCGTACAGTCCCATTTGCAAAATAAGGACTCAACAAAAGCATTTAAGCAATATCTCACCTGATAGAGAATTTCACCGGCTACAAGATCGGCTAGCTTAAGAGTTTTAGAATCCAATTCATTCATTAGAATTGTTTTATAACAGCCCCGTGCTCAAAAATTTAACAACATTTTTTTAAGTAATTCATTTTTTTCTCAGCCAAACAATGTCACTAAGCCGAAAAAACTTCAGGACATATACTTCGAAGTATCCTCTGCAAACTGGGAATATTAGACAAAAATCTAAACTAAAAGATTTCTCTAATTTTTTAGCTAAGTGAAAATATTTTTACAACACCTTGAACCAAATTTCGCTCGAAGGAAGCATTTTCAAGGAAAAGTGTGGATGTGAAAGTTGTTCAGAATCAGATTCCCTGGAATATGAACGAGGGATTTTTCAAAATTCGTTAAAGTGGACTTTTAAATTAAATTTTACTAAATTTTAAAATTTTAAAAATCGTATTTTTCAATTTAAAAATCGAGTTTAATGAATTTTGAAAAATCCTTCCCTTCCAGGGAATCTGATTTTGAACAACTTTCGTACCCGCACTTTTCCTTGAAAATACTTTCTTCGAACGAAATTTGTGTTTTTAAAAATACTTCTTGCTCCAAAATGCCACCGGACAGGTCAAAGCGGAATAACTCAATCAAAGCTTGATCGAATTTCTTTTAGATACATCCTTATGTCCTCTATCGATTGACATTAAAACCGAGGTTATATATAGAAATCTGAAAATTTTATTAAACTTTTAAAAATAGAGCAAAAACCTGAGACAACTTAAAAAATTATTTTCTCAAAAACTACAGGACTACTTCAAAGTGTCCTCTACAAAACCCATAGGAAAAACCGACCTCCTTAAAGATACAACGCTAGTTGAGTGAGTGAGGGATTCACTGTTAGGAGGTCCTACAGACCCTTGAAAAGATCACTACCTATGGCTCAAACATTAAGTAACTCGGGACGTTTCGACGTGAAGCCGGTACTGCTTTCAAACGAGCATTACTCGCTCACCTATCCATATAAGTGTGTTGTTTGTTTGTTGTTTTTTTGTTATTGATTTTTTTTTATACTCTCTTCTTGCGGTTCTTATCTTTTCTGCGTGGTGGCACTGTATTTATAACCCTTTGGTTTTTTTGTGCTTTCCTTTGTTACGAGATGTTTTCTTGGGCATAAAATAAAATTTCAAGTTCAAGTTCAAGAATCAGATTCACGGGAAATGAAACAAGGAATATTAACATATTTATACTTCTTCACGAGTCAACTAAATACACTGATATGTGCCATTCATAGCAACATAGGTTTTTGTGATGGATTAAACATAAATTTTTGCCACATTATAGGAGCATATAAATGAATTTCCAAGGATGGCGTATTTATGTATTCTATAATGTGTCAAAGCTTAGTGCTCTGTCCATCGCAAAAAAATTATACACTTTCTATCAACGCATGTTTCTTTTAAAAGTACAGTCTTCTAAAGTGGAAAGGGAAATTTTCGTCTATATGACTTTTTAACATTTCAGTGATACCTTGAATATTACTCTCTCCGAAAACCACGGGTACCTGGAACGATATCTCAGAACGGTAGTTTTCCTTTTTGTACTTTCCTTCTCAAGATATATAAAAAATGATAAAACCTCTAGGTGGAATCTAGAATTTGGGTTTTGAAAACTCCGTAACTCGAAAAGAAGGAAATTAAAAAGGAAAAAGGAAAACTACCGTTTTGAAATATCGTTCCAGGTACCTGTGGTAAAATTTGCAACCCGATCGAATGACGTTTTCTGGAGGTCATAATGTGCTTCAACGGAAACCAGAATTTTCCAGAAAACCTGTAGAAGAGCATGCTAGAAAATGCTGTGCAAAAGTATATTGATTTTCTTTTTCGATGTTCTATCTCTGGTATGAATTTGAACGTGATCAGACTTTCACTCTCGATTTGCCATGAAGGTGGAAAAAAGAGGAGGGGTTACCCGTAAGAGAAATCAACACTTCTATTGTTTTTCAGTGAGTTACAGGACTCTCGTCATCTATGATCGTTAATTATCTTTGAATTTCTAAAACTGATATAAATGAGAGCAACTTTATTCATGTGATTTTTATATTTGAAAAACAAATTGCTTCTTTGCTATTCTGTTTGTCATTTGATTCTTTCATTTTAAAAAATATCATCAGACACCCATTATTTATATCATTTATCATTTCAGATACGTATCATAATAATATAAGGGTCTATAATAGTTATTTAAACGAGAAAAAACTTCATACAAAGAGATGGAACAAAAATTCAAATAATGTTTATTAAGAAAGATATAGAAATTCTTTTTGAAACAAAAAACAGAAAACAAAAAGAAAACAAACGATAATAGTGAAGAATAGTGTGTATTTTGTCATAAGCAGTAGAACGCATCGTTCCTTCTTTTTGCCAGAGAGAGAGAGAAAGACAGGGAGAGAGAAAGCTAAGGAACAGCAGTGACCAAATAAGTAAAACATATTATTTTGTACTGTACGCGATCTTATCCTCCAGTTATTATTATGTTCACAGAATAGGAAACAAAAACTAACAAAAATAATATATATACACTTGTTTTTTGAGCCAAGAATTAACAAATAAAAAATATTAACTACCGCCACAAAAACGTGATGTCAAAGTAAATAACATTAAAAGAACTCATCCATTTCGTACGATATACTCATTCATTCAAATAACGACAATCGCAACAGAGTGTCTTCTTTTGTGTATAATCGCTAGAGAGAAAGAAAAAGTCGTTCTTGAAAACAAGTAACAATTCTCAACTCTCAAAAAAAAGAACAGTTATCCGATTAACTACTAACTGTACGATGCAGACGATTTTGATAAAAGTATTTGGACATATTTCAATGCTGAAGTTACAAGCGATTTAACGAATATATTAAAAAAAAAGAAAAGGCGAATGTTTATTCGACTAACAAGCAACGGTGCTTTATAAAAAAACATAACTATACATTATTAGCAAAAGAGATCTACCATAAATAGGACTGCTAGACGTAAAAAACATAAATGAGTTTTAGAGAAAAAACAAAAAGATCAATTAATATGTGAACAAGCGTGATTAGAAAACATTTGTCGATCTACTGAAGTTTAAGTTGCAATTCTAATGATATTCGTTTATCGATTAGATCAGTTAGTCTATCCTCCCAATGTTTGAGTTGTGCTTTTAATATCGAATTATGTATTTTTGTTTGGTTTAATGCTGTATGTAATTGTTGTTGCTCGACATTGTTAATGTCATTTGGATCATTTTGATTATTTGTATTCGCCGATATTAACGTTGATAATTCTTGTAAACTATCTGGCTGTAGTAAATCACGTATTTGTTGTAATAGTACATTTGGATCAGTTTGTTGTTGTTGCATAATTGATGGTCTCGTACGACTAGCATAGTATAACGGCGTAGAAATGGTACTGTTATTACTATTATTATTATTATTATTGTTACTCGATGTACGAGATGGTTGTTGAGGTGTTATTTGTACATCGGGTTGTGTGCGAGGTGGTAAAATAGGCGCATGAGATAGAAGCGTTGTTGTTGTTTCATTTGTGTAATCGAGTGACGCATTACGACTATGTTTGTTGTTTGTAGTTGATCGTGGTGGAGGTGGTGGTGGGGGCGGGATATTTTTTGCTGAATCCAACGATTTCAATAATGGTGGAGGAGCAACGGGAGGTGAAAGTCTTAGAGGAACAGGTGCAACTATTTTATGATTGTCAGATGAGATGGGAGGTGCATATGTAAATTCTTTTGGTCTTGATCGAGGAGAAGCGGATGCTGTTGACTCAGGTTCTGAATCATTAAAATTGGCCCAGTCAATTGGTGGAGCTACTCCAGATGGTATGTTTTTTGCCGCCGTGGCTGTAGTTGCTGTTGTTTTGGAATCAACAAGAGTTTGATTAAGTGGTGGCAATGATGCTTCGATGGATGTTAGTGATGTTGTATCAGACAAATCGATTAATGGTGTATATGGTAACAATTGAGCTGGTAGTTCATCTGGCAATTCAAATGAATTTACACGTAATACAACAAGATGCATAGCTGTACAAAATTCTGCTAACGACAAGGCTCCATCATGATTCACATCCGATAAATTCCATATTTTAGATAATTCATTTGTAGGCAATTGTGACCGTTCAAAAAATTCTTTGGCAATATTACCTAAAGTAAAATCATCATTATTTCATCCATAGCTGTTGTTATTCCAATAATGCTTTGTACGAATACCTTTTTTCTTACGCCAAGATCAGAAAATCTTATCTTATCAAAGATCATCGTTTCTACCGAAAGCAATTCAAGGCTGTTCTGAAGAAATCTACCGTTTAACACTGTTTAAAATGAAACATACCCATAATAACTTTATTAATATCCGGTTGTAATTCACGAAATTGATTTGTATAATAATCACGTTGTTCATTCGAAATTGTCCATGGGTCATCTTCGTCGAAACCAACTGACGAAGACGAATCATCATTATCATCGTCATCATCTTCATCTTCTGAATATGTTTCATCTGATGATGAAAATTCATTTGAATGTTGAGTAACTTTTTTTCCATTATGATAATGTTTTGATGATTTATTCAAATAAACTGTCCAATCTTTCTTTGGTTTTAATGTTGAATTTGTGCCTGCATCACCACTACTACTTAATTCATTGTCATTACTGCCATTTGCACCACCACTATTAAGTCCAAGATTATGAATACTATTTCCAACAAGCACTTTTCCCTCATCATCCGACTCCAAATAAGAGGATAAATGTTGAATACTATCTGATTGTGAACTTAATATGCTAATTGTATCATCTGGACGAGCTGATAAACGATGCTCGGTATTTCGTAGTGTAACACCGTCCGCCATTTTTCTATCTTTCATATAAAAGAGTTAACACAATTTTCACCGGTATCTAAAAACAACAGAAATGTTTTTATATAATAATAATCACCCTTCAATCAGTTAACGTGTGTCATATTTTTGAAATTAAGAAAATGTGTCCACAAAAAGGAAAATCATCACATTTCTTTTTTATTCAATCGTTATATAATCAATCAAAAAAACCAGTAGAAAATAAAAAAGGAAGCAGTATAAGTTCCAAATCATGTTCGTTTCATTTTTTTTTTTATATTTTCAAAGACATGATAAGAATTATAGAAGATACTACAGTGGCATTTTTTCTTCTTCTTTAAATATAATAAGTTAATATTCATTTTCTTTTTATTGTATTTCACTATAGTTCATAACGTGATATTCTCAAGGGTTTTGAAACATAAGCTGGTCCTTTTCTTTTTGAACAATTACTCAACATGACGTATAATTGAAATATTCTCGATGTACGTGACTTATTATATTTTTTTTCTCTTTTCTTTTAAGACTGATTTGACAGAACAAAGTCCGATTAAAACTTTTCAGAAATAAATCTTTGACTACAAGGGAAAAAATAAAACCACATTTAAATTTTTATCAAATGATGAAACAGTTAAAAAAAGTTTTATGTCATTATCTCTCTGAGAACTGACAGATCTTATAAAAATTATTGTGATGATTGTAAACAAATTTAACTACTAAAACTTACGCACAACTGGACAATAAATTTTTTTAGTTTATCATAGAATTTTAACATTTAAGAATGAAAAAAAGAGTGATTGTACGTGTGCACCAACAAGAACAAAGTTTATTTAGATAAATAAGATTACTCCATAAGCTTCTGTCGTCGACTTACAAACAATAGTATTCTACTTGAACTTTTATTTTATGTTATAGTTATGCTTACGTCAGACACGGGAATAATCCAAGCGGTATGCATCATACTTTAACATATTATGATCAGTAGTGACTGAACAGAGAAAAACATCCATTTAAATCCAAAACAGAGGTTAGAAAGAATGAATGGTCAATTTATCATTTATCATCATATTGTAGCTTCAGCAAAAACACTATGATTGATTTCCAGATCCCAATAATCTCTTTGAATTTCTTCATATATCAGGCAAACAACTATGATCTTTTTACTTTTCTTTTTATAGCTCCGTTGTATTAACATTAAATAAATCCAAAAGAAAGAATAGTAGAACACTATTATCACATAGTTTCAGAATTTATTCTATAAGACTTGAATAGTTCGTACAACTTTTTTCACATAAATATAATACACAAAAAAAGAATAACTATCATACAACTTGATGATCAATAATAACTCATCATAGAAAATTGATAAGGGTTTTGATCGATATTTTACAATACAAAAAAAAATGTGAAAAAGAATAAGTAAATACAAAAAACATGAGGTATCCACATACAATAGATACGAGTGTATCACAAAAACTGCGAACAAAATGCTTCAATAGCATCGCACGCTTGTTTTGCCTGATTTCTATTTGCACCTGCATTATCACGAATCCATAACTGAAAATATTCTTTATCTTTCAATAATGTCAGATAAACACCAAGCAATTCATACGCCTAAAATGTAAGATAAGAGAAAACAAAATATAATACGCTGTGAAGGTTATTTTATTTAATTATTACCTGGCAAATAATAGTAGACAAAAGAGGAGTATTATGGAACCCTATGTAAGATCATCTTCAGATGTTTGATAACAATAGATAGTAGAAAAAACCTATATTTTTTTTACTTTCACTATATGCATTATAGAAACAATTTCACCGTATGCAATTAAATAAACAACGAAAGTAAGAAAAGAAATAGTTGTTTGTGCTGTTCATTGTCCTCGCATACTTCAAGACTATCCTATCTAGAGTTCAGTCGAACGTCTCTTTTTGTTTAATAATAAGTAAACAAAACGATTTTGATTTCTATCGGTAATATAGTCTTATTAGTTTATCATATCAGAGAAATTTAACAAAGGAAACAAGAACATTTTACTTTAGCTTTCTTACTTTCGTTATTCCAGAACCTTGTAAATTACTTGATAATTTTGGTCCAATTCCAGGCACTTCTGATACATCTTTATCTTTCAACGGCTCTGAGGTGAAATCACGAAATTTCTGTGATGTTGTTGAAGACATTGTAAACGATCTAAAACATGAGAAAAACAAATAAACGATTCTTGTTAAGTGAAAGACGAACATAGGAAAAGTGAAAAACAATTGATGAGACCAAATAAAGAAAAAGATTTTGTTCGAGTACACTGTTTCGTTTGTTTCTTTATCATACAGAAATATAAACTACACAAATCGATATTATACACGAATATGTTTCTATACAAAAAACGTATGTACACATTACAATACGAACAATATAAAGAGAGAGAGATAGAAGAGTTACAAATTTTAATTTAGTTCAGTTTTGTTCTAAATAAATGCTTCGGCCCAATCAGATAATGCTTGCGTTGTTGTTTTTGCCTGGTGTGAATTAGCACCACATTGAGTTTGTAACCAATCTTGAAATGATTCTGGATCTTTGTTGCTTAATAAAAATTTGCCAAATAACACATAAGCCTTTAAAAGAAAAAGATAACAAGATCAAGTAAAGATAGTAATCACAAAAAAGAACTATTCAACGTACTTTCTCATAGCCCGCGTCTGCCAGTTTTGTACCCAATACTTCTCCGATTCCAGGCACATCTCTAATACCTTTATCACCTAATGGTTCAGCCATAAATTCACGAAATTTTTTCGTAGTTGTGGACATTTTATCGAACTAGTCTAGTATAAAATTATCTATGAAAATAGACAAATAAGATAATTAGAAGGATGCGTTAATAAGTATAAATGATGAACTATCAATTTCCACTATTTATTTGACTATACTTACAGTAAGTTTATATAAAGCGGCCAGTAAGATTAGAAAAACCAGAACAAAGAGTAGAGGCGAAAAAGAGACAAATATATAGACTCATACATCTATGAATCAGGTGCAAACAATTACGATATTCATATTCATACAAATTTCAATCGGTACAACGAGGGAAGATTTTTCTCACAAAATTCATTCAAAAAAGCGGCTGAATATGTTAATATTTTTAAGGGGTTAATTTCGAACAAAATACAAAAAAAATCTAAGAAATGCAGTTAGTGTGTATTAGCCGTAAGTTAGTAGATAAAAAATAACACATGACACTAATCATTAAAAACACTAAATGTAAGTGGGACAAGCGAGAGCAAAGTGAATTTCCATTCTGTTTTTCACGCTGAGAAAAGTATATCCCATCCCACTTTGATTTTGAGAGTTTCCACTTAATCTTTTTTTCATATTCTCTGCCTCAGAAAACTAACCCATTGATCTCTCTTTGCTGAACACTTGTGAGCGATAGAACAAGTAGAATTTCTGTGTAATCGTCTAATTTTCATCACGATACGACATAGCTAGTGTCTAAAGATTAACATCACTAGGATATTAGTCAAAAAAGCATTTGTGACTTTTATCTAAACGTATAAAAGTTTTGCAGCGTTTCTTTTTCTTCAGAAGTGTTCAACTTACAGCTATTCTTGTAGGTGCATTTTGTTTTAGAAGAATCATCTGAGATGACTGACAGCCGGACGACTTACAATAAACAAAGTCTGTTCGGTAAATTTGTAATTGATCAGGGTAGAGAACTTAATTCCGGTCCATTTAGCTGATAAGTGATAAAACGAAACCCTGTGACGATAAAAAATCTCTTGTAGTCGCTATTAGACAAAGTTTTCAACTTTTTCCATTTTGTTCACTTTAAATTTCATATCAAAGTGGGAAACTCCACTTTGACGCTAATTTCAAAGTGAAAAGTTCCACTCTGAAAAAAAACTCCTATTAGAAACACTGCTTACATTCATAAACTATTTGACTTTAACTAAGAACAGACGAACTACATTTAAACTTGTAAAGTATGTTTTGATAAACTGATTATGTTATGCACAATTTATTTTTCTGGTTGAAAAAAATCTTAGGAGTGGTGGAGTTAAAAATACATCATTACCACTCAATAAAGGGATAATCTATGGACTCTTTAGTAATAAATCTATAATAACTGGATATGCTTTGAACGAAGCATTGTGTCGTAATGCTGTTGAAAACTTCATTAGGATAAATATAATCCCAATTATTCAAGGTCAACAAAACGAACAAACGTTCGTTAGATCCATCAAACAAATTACTCAGTTTCGTTAGGTCCATGAAAAAGAATAATTACTAATAAGAAATTGTGTTAAGAGTTACCGCACATTATCAAACCGCAAATAAAAAGTTTAAGTTCGATTTCGTTCATTTCTTCTTCTTCTTTCTGAGACAAAGACAAACAATAAATGGATTTTCATTTGGTTTTGTAAATAACCAATAAACTATGATAAGGACAAACACGTCTATGCATGTACATAGCGCTTTTTTGTTTTATTTATCTATACTGAAAAAGCTACAGTCAGTATGACTGATGCTGAATCATTAGACGTTTACCAGATGTTTGTGATGAGTAATCTAGTTGAGAAAATAGTTTTTTCTCTCTTTACTTCCCCTATCCAGGCTGTTTTTCTATTTTAAGCTTCGATTCGTGGCTGTTTAAATAAATCACTATCTATGCTCTTAGGAATAGTTCTGGGCAACCGTATTACGAAAAGACTTAAGTTGATGATTGGTTTACATTTTGAAAGTCGTTAACAACAGTGACAAACTTGGGACAAAAACCTGCAAAATAATGAAATATTTATTCTCTAATCCTTAGAATGTCGTCTTCGTCGAATCGTATCGTTAAATGCCTGATCTATTCGAAAAATGCGTCAATGACTCAAGTCCGACTTAAATTTTCGGTCTTAACTTTAAAATTAAATTTCCCATAACTGAAGTCATCCATTAACTTTCACCCCAGACTAATCGGCCAACTAATTAAAACAAGTTTTTTGTAATACGGTAAAAGTTAAGTGTGGTGCAGAGAGAAGAGATGCAATTTGGTCAATTTTGTTCTGTTGCATTAGAAAACCTTTGTGTTTTCATTACTCCAAGGTCGAAAAAGGATATGAAATGAGCCGTTAAAACAGTTGAATATAAAGGTGAAAAATATCCAATATATTCAAGTTGTAACAAAAGAAATGCGTAACCGCTTGATAGTCGCGGCGCACAGGTAAAGAAAGCAAAAACGAAAGACGTAAACAGATTTGGGAGTTTTCTGGATTAATCGGAGACTAAATGTGTTGAAGGAGTGTACTTTTATTGGTTCTCTTACATACTCTTCGCTCAATGCCTCCTTCGGTAGAAGGATTTTAACTCGTTTTCTATAATATTTATTTCCAATATAAAGTGACAAGAGTAGAAAATCAAAGAGTGACTCACTTTTTCGATATTTAACTAGATATTAATTCTTTTCTAACCTAGATTATCCTTTATGTTGTGATTTTGCACTCATGATGAGCCAGCTAGCAACTCCGATGCTCCCTGTGCATGCACGAAGACTGTCAGACAGCTTCACATCTGGTACGGAAGATAGTAACCAGGTAAGAAAGTTCAGGAAGTATTTATAGTTCTAGTTTTGTCTTTGACTGCACGATGTGACGGTTATGTTGTTCGTCATGTACTTCAGACATGACTTCAATATGAGCAAATTGAGCGAAAGAACTCTATGCTTGTACAGTCTTTATTCTAGAACTGTGATTAATGCTTAAGAGAGAGGTCAGAGACCATCTTTAAAAATTGGCAGCTGCAAAACAGATATCGGACTATCTAAATCTGACAAGTCTGACTTGTCAGCATCGTACACCGGCAACGATAGTCGCAAGGTGGCTTTCCTGTCCTTCTTTCTCATTGTTGTTTTCATTGATATATTTAGTTACTTGAGTACATGGACGCGAAGAGTCATGGCACAATCACATTTCCAGACAACCGATCGTGCAAAGCTAAAGTTTGACTTTATTTTTTGTGTTAATTGCATATTTTTAAATATGCTAGGGGTCGTATCACAAAAAAGCTTAAGTCAAAGGATGACTTAAGTCATGGGAAATGTAGTCTTAAAGTTAAGGCCGAAAACTTACGTCGGACTTGAGTCATTGACGCATTTTTTAAATAGATCAGGCATTTAACGATACGATTCGACGAAGACGATATTCTAAGGATTAGAGAATAAATATTTCGTTATTTTGCTGGTTTTTATCCGAAGTTTGTCACTGTTGTCAACGACTTTTAAAAAGTAAACAAATTACCAACTTGAGCCTTTTTCGTGATACGGTTAAGTCCCCGGACTTAAGCTTTTTCGTGATACGATCCCCTGTCGTTTTTTTCAGTTTGTACGAATACCTCCAGACGCATCGGTTTCGCATGTCAAAGATCTTTTATATCAACATTGGTGTAACGGAAGACCATCTCTTGTTATTTCAATCACTGGCGGTGCTAAAAGTATTATTTGCGTAGGAAAATGGGTTAATAAGACGTTAATATTGTATCTTTTCTGCAATTTTGTTAGAATACCACATGAAACCGAAGTTGTCAAAGGCATTTCGACAGGGTTTATTGAAAATAACAAGTACTACAGGTAGAACTAGATTTTATAAAATTTTCTTCTTCTATCAATGAAAACGTCACTTTTTATACCAGGAGCATGGATCATCACTGGTGGAATGAATACTGGAGTAATGAAGCTTGTAGGTGAAATTATACAACTAAATCATTATCGTTCAAAACCAGTTCATATCATTGGTATAGCTACATGGGGATGTGTGAGTGGCACTGACGTGTTAAATGTACAAGGTGTAAGTAATGACATCTTCTCTTCTATAACTTGCTAGTTAATGTTATTTGTACTTTTAGCAAACCGTTCAATATACAAAATCACAGACTGATGTACCAGGTGAAGCGTCGTTAGATTCAAAACATACTGAATTCATTTTAGTTGATGATGGTTCAAATCATAAATTTGGTGCAGAAATTGAGTTTCGTGCAAGTTTAGAACGCGCTATTTCTGGTGAATTTTTCGATCCTGCACCAACATTTGGACGGCAACATTCAGGGGTTGCAGGATCAACCTCATTAAGACCAGAAAAATTTGGTATGTTGTAGAATTGTCTAGTAGAACGTCGCGTGAAATAATTTGTTTTCGTTATTTAGTTTCAGTTCCTGTTGTGCTCTTAGTTATAGAAGGTGGACCGAACACATTCAAGACCGTTCATGAAGCAGTTGTTAAAAATAAAATACCAGCCGTTTTTTTTGAGGTATAACGAGTGACATTATAGATTTCGTATAAGTTTTTTTCGCTAACTTTTTTGTGTTTACAAAATGTATTCCCTTTTTTATGGTTCTCAAAAGCTTCCACTTTTGATAGAGTTTTTATTTTACTTGTAAGGAAAAGGCTTTCATCGGATGACACTTTGAATTGTCAAGAACGAATATTCTATATGTAAAGATTTTTGTTAGAGTCAGGCATGTCTTTTTGTATAAAGCGAAAGCAGTTTTAAAATTATTTTGAGAGTTTCAATGTAAACCAACAGTACAGATTTTGGCACCTAGTGGCATCAAACATTGTACTAACAGGTCCCCTAGTATAGAATAAGTTGGTTTTGTTGACAAAAATTAGCAAATAAAGTTATACAAAACTTTAAGTTCATGCATTAAATAGCTTCGTTTAACCTGAGGACAATATTCAAATTTTGATTTCCTTAATAGTTGTATTTATTTGTTCTCTAGAAAGAGTTTACTTTTCTTCCTTATAGGGCACCGGTCGTTGCTGTAATGTATTTGCTAAAGCCTACAACAAATATCGTGATTTAAAAGACCAAACAGGAAGTCCTGAAGAGCTTAATACCAAGTAGGATGGTTTTTTCCTTAAACGTTTTGTTTGCATATTAATAATGTATTTTCTTCTCTCTTAGTTCTGATGTAATAAAAAAACGAAAAGATGAAATTAAGCGTCTTTTGAGAGAAGAATTGAAAGAAGAATTAGAATTACTTGATAGTGGTAAAAAAACCAAGAAAGTTGGTAAGTCTCATAGAAATGTTAATACAACACGGCTCCCGATAGCTAGTTTCCTTAACTACTTTCTAGAAATAAAAATTTGTTCAAAGCATGTAGTACTGTCCATGAAAAGTCGACTCTAGCCGCCGAGTGTCCAGTTTTTCGAAAAATGAAAATATATTTTCAGAACGTATATGCGTAAGATCTTTTTAATTTAGGTATCTCCTCAGTCTCTAATCCAAAAAATGTTTTCTTGCTCGTGCTTATAGAAAAAGAGTCGACTCTTCAAAATGAGGTTCTTCTCGACAGATGATTATATTTTCTTCAAAAGCCAAGCAAATCATTGAGAGGTGTACGAGAAAATTCGAGGAGACGATATACTGTTCTGACACTTTTCGAAGAAAAAACTTTCCTTTATTTTCTCAAGGCTTCCAATTTTCAGAATACATCTGATATCGTGTTTGATAGCCTTTTTGTTTCTGGCATTCAGTTTTAAATCGAATCTACGAGTGTTTCGGTTATATCAGCACTGACAGCTTGCATTCTTCCGAGAGTCTTTCTCAATGAATTGCTTATGCCTTTTAAAGAAAATATAATCATCTGTCGAGGAGGACCTCATTTTG